GTCTGTGGTTCTACAGTAGGCTATGGTGTAATTGAGCAATATATGAAAAAAAAAAGAACTATGAACTAGTTCATTTTTTGGTTTTGAATTATGAACTATGAACTGAACTAGTTCATTTTAAAATGTGTGAACTGAACTTTGAACTAGTTCACGTAGAAAGAGAACTTTCCCAACACTGGCAGAGGCTATGCATTAGAAGCATAAATTGGCCTTTAGTCTACTTTGTTTTCTTCTATCACACATAATCCCAGTAATAGATATAAAGGTTTGTGATTACTATGCAACAACAAAATCAAAGTTTTAGATGTAGTAATACCTTTGTGTATCTCTGTGTACTTTTTTTTTGCAATTTCTTGTCACGCCCAGAATATCCTGCTTGAGTGAAATCTAAAAACGTTAATCCAATTTTGGTTATTGATGATGGAACAGACTCATGCATCTACTGTTGCACCGCTGCGGTGCAGAAATGGCACTTCAGGACTTTGGAAATTCAATAAGCGGAACCCTGCTTCGGCTTATTCTTTTTTTTTAAATTATTCATGCAATTAGTCTGGTGATGGTTTCACTCACAGACTTTCCCTTAGACATGGTTCCATAACACAAAGCTGTGGAAACTGATGCCCATGTTTTTTAAACTGGGGGTTTTGTTTTTGAAGGTTCAAGGAACATAGATCTTTTAGGAAGTAGCAGGAGCGTCTGAGTAAACCCAAAGCGACATGATGTGATCTCTGATGGATGGTTCCTGACTGCCAGATGTCATTTGACTCCCATCTGTGTCTCTGACCACAGAACTTAAGGCTAAGCGAGCCTGCTGGCCCTTTAAAAGCTGAGCCGCGCAGCTCTGGAGGAGCTCCATATGGCTTCCCCGCTTCATTTGTCTGAGCAGCATCGTTATTGCAGGGAGGAGCTCGCCTCTAACGCACCCGATAAAATCTTTAAAGCTTGTCAGCTTGGAGGCGCACACTTCCTAGATCTCACAGGCAGCTTCAGGTTGAGAGAGGAGCGGGAAGGAGCGGGCAGCGTGAGCCGCCCTCGCCCATGCGTGCTCGCCGTTTTTTCCCAGCAGCAGAGTTAAAGCTGTGGCTACAAAACCTGTTCGCTTTTATCTGCCCTTTTCTCCAAGACTCGTTTTAAGGGGAGTAAATCCCATCAAGCTGAAGCGCGCGCGCGCGAAGGGGGTGAACGAGCGGAGATCACGACGCTCGGAGATGACAAAGCCATACAGGCTGCAGGGAGGAGAGGAAGGAGCAGAAGGAGCAGAGCCGTTACTCCTCTTCCTCCTCTGTCACTTTACTGGATATCCTCGGTCTGAATGCGCACTCAGTGTCCATGTGAGCAGCTGATAAAAAAACAAACAGGCCGTGTTTGTTCGCCTTTGTGCATCACTCAGCATATCCATTATTACGCGCAAGGGGTCCCGTGGGCGCAGTGAGCGCGCGCGCACACGCATGAAAGACAATTAGAGTCAACGAATCGACCCGAACCGCTCCGGCAGAGATCAGCATACAGCGGCCAGCCTCTGGGTTGGACTGTAGAAACCCACTCTGCTCCACATATATATATGTGTGTGTGTGTGTGTGATTTTTCCCACCCCTCTGTCTCTGTGTCTCGGACTCACTCAGCCTCACCTCTCTCCCATCAATCCAACGGCGCAGGACCCTCCGGCTCGTCCGCCGGCTACCGAAAGGCGGACGACGAGATGTCCGGGACCACTTCCCAGGCGGACCCGGTGGACGCTACGGCGCGAACGGTGGTCCTCAACCGGCCCCAAAACACCAAGTTCTGCGACAACCACGTGAGGTAGGCTTCACTTCTTCTAATGCTTGGTTTCTGCTTTGACTTTTACTTATTATTCAATTCAGTTTATTTGTATACACATGTCATGTCAAGGCACTTTACAGTTCACCAGATCATACAGTCAAATTGATTCAGAGTTTCCCCTCACACTAAGCATGCATGTAGTGACAGTGGAGAGGAAAAACTCCCTTTTAACAGGAAGAAACCTCCAGCAGAACTAGACTTTTTTTTCTCATATTTAAGTAAAAAAAAATGTGTAAAGACCTCAATAATCAAGATTTGTGAATGAAAGACTCACAGGCGCATAATTACACAGTGACCAAAGAGTTTTAATATATCTTTTAGGTTAGTAATTAGCATGTATTTAATTATTCTTTTGCTAGAAATTATTTCAAGCAGACCTGTTGTTGTTGCTGTCCAACATGCTCAGAACCAGCATTTATTACAGGCAGGTTTTTAGGGCATCTGACTTAAAAAAAAAAGATTAATGATTAAATAAAGGTCAAATAAAAAAGAAAGATTATTTACTGTTCATCACCCCCCTCAAATCTAATCACAAGGAGGGAAGATTTGATTATTTTCTCAAGGAAAATCCACCTGATATCAGCTTGTCTTGCCTGATGTTTGTAAAGCACTATTTAGCGTTATAGCACTTTAACTTAATGTAATTGTTATATTATTATTATGCAAATGTGTAGTTTTAAACTTTACCCTCTAGGGTGACTTTTTTACTAACTATCTTAGAGACTGCAGGTAAAAAAAAAAAAAAAAGCTTCTGGCTAAGGATCTTGACAGAAATATTATTAATATGCACCGTTCCTGTAATTAAAATTAATCATGTATGAAAATCAATTTTCAAGTGTTGCCACATATTAATTGGATAGAAGTTTAGACTTTGACTTGGCCTTTCTAAAACATTGACTTGCTTAGTTTTTAACTATGTAATTGTATCTTTGGCTGTGTGTTTAGTATTATAACCTTTAGCAGATCTTCCTCCACTATGTTGTTTGTAGTCGGCATATTATTTTTCCACAATGAACTCAGACCAGCTTCCATGTTGATTTAAAGCATTCGACGACCCTGCCGCCACCAGGTTTCCCTTTGGGGATCCAAGGTGGTTTTATCAATTTAAATCTGCTTAGCTGACAGGGGTCGTCACATGGCTCAGTGGTCAAGCAGGTGCACCATATGTAGAGATTATAATCCTCGGCGCAGCTTTTCCTTGGAATCTGACTTTTTCTTAATGTCTCCATGCACCAGCTGCAGTATCTTAATGGAGTACATTTCCTCTGAAGAAGAAATGTACATTTAAAACAGAAAATATCCACACAAATATTTGTATGCCTAACACACCAGCTTTTCTTTTATTCTGTAAACTACCTTGGTGTTTATAGTCAATGGTTCAATTTTATACAGTGAAATATCAATAATCTGACACCAAAACAAACCAAAATTTGATGATTTGTGATTTGTGAAGGATTTGTGATTTTACCTGTTTACAAAAATAAAAAAAAGGATTGTTTTTTTTGGCATTTCAATTAACAAATCTACTTAGCAAACTTTTCACTATGATGTCACTAGTAGGTATTCAAACATGCTTGTGGATAAAAATACTCCCTGCTTAAAAACGGCTCTCCTATGTTTGCAATGTTGTTTTGAGCAAAACTTTGTAAGCAGAGCATTAGATTGAATTGTTCATCCCTCAACAAATCCTTCTTGGTTTAAGAAGCTCAGCTCGTTTGCAAGTTTAATCTTAGCGCTAGCTGTTTTTCTAAGCTTATTTACACCTCAAACACATTTTCAATCCGAAGTCATTTGACATTAATTGACTCCTAACAAGTTTGAAAAAATGTCGTTAATATGGGCCTGCAACCTTTGTAAATGTATTGGCCTTCCACCTATGGAGGATCAGGCGGGTCTCTGAAAAAGAAAAACAGCCATTTTAATCATACAGTTAAAAATCAAATTTAAAAATCATTTTTCTTATTGTTTATTTTTTATTTTAATTCTTAAATAGGAATTGTAATTTGTATTTATTAATCAATTAGTAAATACTGCAATTTGAAAATGTATACTTTGGGGCTGCAACTAATGATTAGTCTGTAAATTGAATAATCTGTTGATTTTTTTTCTTCTATTAATCAATTAATAATCAGATAGCCAAAGACTACTTAAAGAAGTTTTTTTTTATTAAATGAAATCAGGTGAAACTAAAACTTTTTTACTTGAGAAGTTCTGTATAAAACATGTTTACAGACAGCATTTTTTTAAAATCTTAAATGCAATATTTTTAGTTTAAAAAAAAAAACAAATTTTGATATAATTACTGCTCTAAGTGGGTTGCTCTGTCAGCTAAAGGCATTTTTTTAGAGTCGCTACACTCCATTTAAAAATTAATTGATTACTTAATTAGTTGACGATTATTTTGATAATCGATTAATCAAGATTAATCCGATGAATCTCCTCAGATGTAACTAGCTTCCTTTGTCTGGCCAATGAGGGAGCTGGTAACATCTGAGGAGCAGCTGTGATTGGTTTAACTGGTATTCAGGTTACTTAAGGACCAAAAAGGGTCACGGAAAAGGTAAATGGAGACAAGAAAAAAGGTATTTATAGTCAGATTTACAAATTGTGTGTTTTTTTTTTTAAATATCTTTTCAGAAGAAGGATTTGAAAACACATTTTAAATTGTGGCATTTAAAAAGGATTGATAAATACTATTCGCAATTCCTCTTTAATAATTCAAATAGAAAACACTTTTTAAATTGTATTTCTAGTTGTATCATAAATGGCTGTTTTTCTTTTTTAGTGACTCTCTTGGTCCTCCATATAAAACAGCAGCGAATGAGAAATGAGATTAGCTAACAGCACTTCCTGCAACAATTGTTTGCTCCTTTCTAGTCACAAATATTTAGGTATAATACATTTGGTAATGTTTTTTTTAATTAAAGCCATTATTTTCTGCTTTATACCCAAATATTTCTTCAGTATAGTGAAAACTTTCTTTTTGTAGGTTATGGCTTCTGTTTGAGCCAGCTTAGTAAATTCCACGCCTTTTTTATTTATGAGTTGCAATTTTTAGTTTTGATTCTTTGCCCTGCAAAAAAAAAAGATGGTCAAACAGAGCTAATGTTTGCTTACTTTTAAATCCACAGTGAGTGGGGTTAAAGGACGGTCTCTGACAGCCACTATGTTTCACCTGTGTGTCAAGTAGACTTTAGACTTGACAGATATGGTTGTTTAACCCTCTCTTTTTTATCATTTAACTTTTTATTACCATTTTTAGTATATGCTTACATACAAAAAAGATATTAACAGTTTGAATTCAAAATTACACAAAGGGAAACAAATAATAATAAAAAAAACATTGATTAACAAAAAACAAAAACCCCTTTCTATTTCTGGTCGCTGTCTTTGGTTTTGAATCATGTCCTTTTAACACACTTTTCTTGCACATGTGTTTGTTGTGGTCTTAAGCAATGTGTCAGTTTTTTCATTGGATGAATTTCCTCTATTACCTTTCTCTATTATTCATGACAGGTGGAATTGTCCCTCTCTTTTAACATTTTCCTTTCATTTAAATACTAATCAATGACTAGATTTCTAATGTTTCTAATGTAGCCTACTTCCTTAAAGGCAGGATAGAGGATTATTTGGTGAATTTGGTGGATTTTTGAGTTGTGCGCTTGCGTCAGTGCCCCCTCCTTCGCAAAAGTTCTCCACGCTGGAAACGCCTCCGCCGCTAATTTTGTATTTCACCTACAGAGGCAGCAAAGTGCCAGGAAGCAACCTAGTCAGCAGGAAATCTCCATAAGAAGAAAAATACAGTACTTCCTACAGAATTGAACTTAATTTACCTGTCCAACAGAACTTTTGCGACCAAAGCATCAGATTTCAGACCTTATTGTACCTTCAGGGAACGTCATCTCTGAAAATAATCTCCTAAACACATACTTAGCCATCTCTGTTCTCTCCCACTTTCTCTGCTCTTTTCAACTACATAGAAAAAAGGATTTTTTTTTTCAGCGGTAAGGTTTGCAGGATTCTTTTCAAGTTTTCACAAAAGAGTGAAAAGATAGTTAAAAAACAAAAGCCGCAGCAGCAAACAAGCATAGGAGTACTTTTCTGTGCTCTGCTAGCCAAACAGGGTATGCGTTACACCTTTCTCTACCTAATCCGTCACGGAAGCACGATCCGTGCCATCAGCTCATTTGAGCATGCGCAACCAGGGTTTCCATAAATGTAATTATGGTATTAAAATACTTATTTCTACCTTTAATTCACTTAAGACTGCTAATAAATATCTTTAAAACCGGTTTTACGATTCTTTCTGAAACTATTTCAAAGCTTTTTACATTTTCTCCGTTAGCCCTCTTCTCTGATCATGTCTCTCATCATCTGACCATGCTCAGAGCAGTCCCGCGAAATATAATTAAACCATATTTATCTGCATTTTAGTTGTTTCTTTCTTTAGGTTATGCACTATATACAATAATTTTAACAGAAAAGGAAAAAAGAAAACTCAAAAAAAAAAAAAAAAATGGTTCCATGTTTAAATCCAAAGCCAAAAAAGTTCCCGGAAGTAGCATAGGATCCTTTTTCCGGTGCAGATCATGCACAGGCGAGTTATAAAGCAGGAAAGAGAGATTTTAAGGAATTTATTTTCTCAAGAAATACATTATTAACCTTTAACACAGTATAGTTTAGTTATGTTTACTTTTTTGGGGAGGGAAAACAGTAATCTATTTTAGAAAATACAATTGAGAACAAAAAGGATATATATCTGGGTGAGCATGTGCAAATGAGCTGATGGTACAGCTAGTGCTTCTGGGATGGATCGGGTAGTGACGATGCTTGGAGCCAACGTAAATAACATCATGGCGGCACAAATATTTTACAAAATGTTTGATTGACAAGCAAGTAGCCAATTCACTTTCAACATTAGTCAAAGTAGATTAGCTAATGTTTTGTAGGAACCACCACAGCCAGAATTTATGGATTTATTTATTTATTTTTTGGGGGGGGGGGGCATAAGTGCTAAAATGCCATCCATCAAATAATTCTTTTTAGATGAATGTGGACCCTTAATTTCTGAGACAAATCCTCTTTCATACCATTAAGGGTGGGGTTACCATGTCTTTAGTGGATAAACAGCTTTGCTTAACGACACGTAACGACCGTGACACTTGTGTTTCCCAATCAATACGCCAGTATTAATATTTAATGCTGCTGGGGAAATTTAAAGCCTATTTACAAGTTTCACATAAAAGTTACACGAAACGCTTCAGGTGGGCCTGTTTCCTCTGAGTGGAAACTGAGAGGAATAATTTATTTGCTTGACTGATTTTGCTGAGAATTAAACCTCTTAACTGTGGCTCCTTTATCTCATGTTGAAGGTTTTTGGTGTGATTCATTAAGGAGTGACCTTCTGATTTTTTTCACAGCTTACGCAAATCTTTGCACCTTTTCTATCACATTGATTCCCAATGGGTTTTTTGTTTTTTTGTTTTTAGGGGCTCAGTTCTGATAATACATGTGTTACCCAAATATGTAGATATTTTCCATGTCATTTCTGTATGTGCATTTATTCATTTTTTTTTTTATACGTTTAATGTCCACTTAGCCTCGTTGGGAGGACAAGTCTCCTGCTCTGTGACTGAAGGTTTTTTTTTCTGCTCATTCTCTTAGTTTTTAAGCATGACTGTTTCTGCAAGATTCAATTACACTTTTTAAAAAGAGGCAATTTCAGCTCCGCAAATAAGATTACAGCGGTTGCCGTTCGAGTGATCTGATTGGATCCCGTTGGGCGCTCTGCGTCTCCTCCTCATAGATTGGATGGAAAGGAGCACTCTCACTCCAGAGGCAAAAAGCCTTTTGATGTCCTTGTGTTCCTGTAACTCTTTAGTTTCTGTTTCTAAAAGTCCAACAGCGTTATTGATTTTCTCTCTGAGATTAAAGCCTTGCAGCTTTTATCTCTTCTCTCCATGACCCTTCTCTTCCCAGACCTCCTCCTTCAATACACAACATCAACTTACTGAAAGTAAAGGAGTGCTGTGGAAGAGATTTTTTTATTTACCTTCACAGATTACTTATGTTTTGTCTATTTTTACACATTTAAAGGTTTTGATTCATCAAGTGATTTTAATCTTGGACAAAAATGATCTAATACAGATAAGTCATTTTCAAAATGACGGTTTCATTTATTCTGGGAAAAAAATATCTATACAACCAACTGAGCCCAATGACTTGCTTAGATTACAACAAGTGGTCCAGGGCTTTTGAACTCTTCCATTTTCAGTCATTTTCTCTCTTTAACCTACAATTGTGCCCTGTGAGGTTTTATTTGCATTCTTGGTTCTTTTTCTGACCTCCTGGATCAGTGGTTGATGTCCTCCTGGATTCATTTTAGTTTGCCTGCCATCCTTGTTCCAGGTTTCTTCATTTTTTGGTCAATGCCTGCGCTTTGAATGCCTGAGAAAGGGTATTGTAACCTTGATCATGTATTTGATGTTTTTAGATCGGGGTATGAATACTTTTGGAGATATGTTACAAAGTTGTAAGACAGGTTTAGTTATAGTTATTCACTGGTCTCACTTTTTTCAGTAATCTCACAGTGGCCTTTGTGTTACTAAATAAAATAAAGAATATGGATTATTCAAAAGATGGGGAAACCTCTCTAAAACAATTCATAGTCAGTAGATAGCTTTTCTTTTCTTTTTATAAATAAAATAATAAAATAAAGAACAGTTTTTAATTTTCCTGGGCTACCTTTTTCTGAATTATTCAAATTTGGTTATTAATATGAAATAGTAATAAAAAAAAAGGAAATCCGTAAGAAAGGCAGATGCTTTTCCACTCTGTGCTTTGAATGCTGTTTTCTATGCAAACACTCCAAAGCTGCACAGCTGCAGGACAGCATCACCCCTGCTGCCAACAGCTGCTCAATTCCTGCACTCAGGACATATATATATATATTATATATGTGTGTGTGTGTGGGTATTTACAATACAAAAACTAACACATCCAGATGATTATTTTTGTATAACAAAGTGGAAATGGGCCCCTTTTTTTTAGCGGAAGTCCCTCTTTTGATTGTATTGAGATGTGTAGTATTACCAACTTGGAGGTATCTGTAGCCTCCGGGATCCCGCCTGTCCATGTGTCGGAACAACAGCTGCTGCTCCCTCTGTGTTTTTTTTTCTTTTTTCTGTGTAACATTTTGCTTCTGGTATTTTGTGTCTGTTTAAGGATAAGGCAGATATGAGGGGTCAGAGGTGGCAGAGTGGAGCAGGTCACGGGTTTGTCTCTTTGGGGATCCAGAGCCACACTGCACCATTTGATGCATGCGCACCCACTGCACTCAAGCACACAAACATACATGATCCATTAAATCAAGATCCGTGCAGAAGCTTTTACTCATCACTTAGGCAAAGGAAGGAAAAACAAACAACAACAAAAACAGAAAAGGCTTCAACTTGAAGGTTGGCTTTATTTTTAGCTTGTGTAAAAGCATTTACATTAGCTAATGGCTATATCAAGGCTAATCAATGCCACTGTCTCATCAATACAGCTGACTGACAGGAAGATTAGGTTGCCAGGGTTTCTTTGTTTTTTATGTTCTGGATTCTCGGTCTTGATTTAGTGCGATGGACTAAATATCTTGATCTATTTCTAAGTGTGAAGTGTAAGCAGCTGATAATGGATCTTGATTTCCCCTACCTGAGCAGAAGGTAGTGTTTAAATCCAAATGGAGTTTAGTCTATTCATTCTCCCTAAGGAATTGATGTCATTATAGATCATTAGAGGACTTTATTGAAATGTATTCGTCAATTTCTGGGGTTGCTAATGCATTATTTGACCTTTTTGTTTCTCTGGTTTATCTGAACACAATTTGATTAAATCTCTTGTGTTTCCGTTTTATTTTTATAGTACCACCAAGTATGGGATTTTCACCTTCCTGCCCCGATTCCTGTATGAGCAGATCAGAAGGGCGGCTAACGCCTTCTTCCTGTTTATCGCACTTATGCAGGTAAAAACAAACTGGTTTTAGTTTGGGTTTGGGTTTTAGTCTTTTTCTTTAGATTGTGATGGACCAATAAGAGTTGAAAATGTCTCAGCATTGACTTTTAAAAAGCTCTGAGCCGCTTCCTCCTTTTTTTTCCCTCAAACTCTTTTTTTCTCTTTGTATTTTGTGAATGTATATTTTTAAAGTTTAACTTTCTTTAAAGAAGAAGGATTTTCTTCAGGTTATGGGTTAAAAGTATTAATAAATAAAACACAGCTAAAATAATTACTGATATTCTTCTTTAGATATTCACAACAGTTTACATCTCAGTTTTACATCACACTTTATTTTTAGTTTTCTCCAACTTAATATATAAATTTTTATGACAAAAACGGTGTTTTATGCTTTCAGTTAGATGAAATCTAAGATTCTTCTAATTCATCCATTTAAAAAATATTGTATTAATCCTGATTTAATCAAATAAATTAAATTGTACATTTTATAATTATATATATATATGATAGCATAAGTTGTACAGTGGCCTTATGAAGTGGCTGTTATACCGTGGCTGTCAAACTGTAAAAAGGTCATTTTGGTCTTTTTGAGGTTCTGCAGGGATATTAGAAGGCTTTGGTAATTCTTTCCTTACATGTTGCAAAAATATGTCATCACTATAAGCTGAAGTCTCCATTCAAATCGGATTAAAACCTGTTTTGTGGAAACTATCGACTCGTTAAACATCCATAATCTGGTAACCAGATTGGTTTTTGACCAAGTTTATACATCAAACTTGTGCCAGAGTCCTGATTCTGTGGACCAAGGTAACTGGAGGAAAAGATGGACCATGTTTAATCAGATAAAACCCACTGGACCACATGTAAACTTGAACAAAGGTCCTCTGGTTCACCAGCAGTTATCTAGGAGAGTCTGAAGTTTAAACCAGATGTCAACATTGGAACACCCAGTCCAGAATCCTGATCCTTTAGAACAGGGATGTCAAACTGGTTCCAGAAAGGGCCGTGTGGCTGCAGGTTTTCTTTCCAACCAAGCAATGGCACACCAGACTCTTCATCTCATCAAGTCATCATTATAAGACTGGACTCACTTTATGAGACCACACGGCCCTTTCTGGAACCAGTTTGACACCTGTGCTTTAGAACATTGGAACCAATATCTAATCTAAAGTGAATAAACCAATAAGCCTGGGTTTTAAATTGTATTTATATTTCCAACATCAATTCCAACTATAGAAGCATCAGAATGATTATTGATTAAAAACTGACTTTAAGCCACATTAGATTGAATTATTTTATGATGTTTTAGTAAGAAAAGCCAAATTAAGTAGAAAGGAAACAAAAAAACTAGAACCCATTCTGACTGTTAGATTCCTTCTTTTCCATTTTTTTCCCATTTCCTGTTTTTTTTCCAAGGATCTATTACATTATCAGCCTCTTTTCTGACATATTTGTGAAACTGGAGTCTTCATTGTACAAGTTAAATCAGTATTTTTTAGAAGCAGAGAGCTGTTCTGGTTGTTATTTCTAGAATAGTCCATCTTTGCTAAAAGTTTTACTTCCTCTATGCTGTCCATCAATACAGACATAAATGTAAGTTGTTTTATCGGTTCTCATTAGCAAATCCCTGATGTATCACCGACCGGACGCTACACCACTCTGGTGCCGCTCATTTTCATCCTCACTGTGGCGGGAATTAAAGAAATCATAGAGGACTATGTGAGTACCTCAGCATGGACAACATCAAGATAGTAAATCGGCTTCCGGAGCAAGTTTTTAATGCTTCACTGCTTCAATATTTTTATACCAAAACTTCTTCTCTGCTTGCCTTGTTGCAGAAAAGACACAAAGCGGACAACACAGTGAACAAGAAGAAGACGACAGGTATATTGAGCGGTTTTCCATGAGCGTCTGTTTGCCTGGGTTTTGTTTTCCTTTCATGGCTGGATGAATGACTGTTGTTTGTCGGCCATTATAGCATTACAGGGCACTCAGGCCAACGCACACAAAAAAAAGACAAAAGTTTAGAGGCCATGAATACTGTATGAGAGTCTCTCCATAAGGCTGACTGATGGCTGTGTTGTCCTTGTCTCTCAGTGCTGCGGAACGGAGCTTGGCAGACGATCATCTGGAAGCAGGTATCACTATCATCACATACGCGCGACTGCTGCCGTCTCATTTATCACGCTTGTGATTTCACTCTCACCTGTACGCCTCTGTTTGCTGCATCTTTTTGGCACAAATGATTGAAACACCACTATGAGATAATACAGTTTGTGGAAAAGATCATTCATAATGAATAGTAAAAAAAAAAAGAAAAGTTAATTTCTATAAATCCCAGTACAGTTTTACACAAATATCTATTATTCATAAAGGGTAAGCTGGGTTGAGTATTTTCTGGTGTGTTTTGATCTTAATGTTGGCACTAAATGGCTATAAGAAAGCAGCTGATCACCCAAACTCGCCCATATAGCTAAGAGCTACAACATTTATAATGCAACCAGACACTACAAGAAAGATTGGCATCTTGGGGTCAGAAAGTCTACATGGCAACCTGTTATTTTGGAAGTTTCTAACAAGGATGTAATTGTAAACATTTGTCAGCGTTGGAAATGTTGTTTGTGGGACTTTAAATGCAGCACAGGCAAGCACACGTGACTTTTTATATCTTTAAATTCAGCTTCCAGGCGACAAACACTGGTGGATTTCACCAGAAATAAAGAATAAACATGTGAAAAGCAACACATTCCTATCTTAAGGTATAGTAGACAATCTATGATGCTGTGGGGCTGGTTTTCTTCCAAGGGCTTTGGGAAACTAACCTTGTTCAGCTAGATCTGAGTTTTCAGTCTAACAATAAATCCATCTTGAAAGACTCCTGCTAATATGTCCGTCTCGTAACAACCAGCAAGTCGGACCAATGATATGCCAGCAGTGTTTTTAGGGGCGGGGCATAACAGGAATGACAGTCAGAAGGGCCTTGCTGGGGCATTACAAACATGGCTGTGCTGAGAACTCACCTGTCTATACTGCAATTGATTCAGTTTTAGCTAAAATGGCGACAATTTCTCGTTTAAAAAAGGAGCAAACAGAAGCACTTTGTGCATTTGTGGATGGGAACGATGTCTGTGCCTTTCTTCAGACAGGATTTGGGAAAAGTTTGATTTATCAGCTTACGAAACGTCACGATTCACTGTTACGATTAGCTGAAAGTTTATTAAGCCGGGAATACACTGTGCAACGTTTTCATCCGTTGTACTCAGCTACAGCTCAATCTGTACAACTAAATCGCAGAGTTTCTGATTTGAAACAACACGCTGGACACCGAGAGATGGCGCTGGTCGGACTCGTCAATCTGTTAGAAGAACTCCCTTGCTTACACATGCGCAGTGTGTGATGTTCTGGTAAATTGGCTCGTAGACACTCGTAGCTCTGCTTCAAAAGCAGGATTTACACACAAACACCTCACGGCGGCTGACTGAATTTAAAACATGTTCGATTTTTTTCCTGACCTCATGATTCCTTATCAACATGTCGCAGGACGCATGATGAGGCTGAAACTCGGCCCTATTGGAGAATTGGCCCAAAAAGGGCAAAAAATTGCACAGTGTTTTTCTAGCTTTATGGAAGGCAGGTACTAGCTGGCACGTCACGCAATCAGCTCAAAGTATTATACTAAACATCCCTCCTTTTCACGGACAGACTGAACAGCAGCCATCCCAGATTGATAACATAGAACTGAATTCAGTTCTACACATATCAGTCTGGCTACTGCCAATTTAGGCCACTCGACCCCTGCGATAAAATTAAAAAAGTTTGATTGTTTAGACTCTTTATAGAACCAAGGTTAAAAAAGTTTTGAAACTTTTTTTATTTTTTTTTTATTTTGAAATTCTGATTTTCAATTCTATTTTAGTTTTAATTAGTTAATTTTAAGTATTTATTTAGTTCTTGTTTTTTTAAATGCTTTGTTTACTTTTTATTTTATTAGTTATGGTTTTAATCATTTATGTAATTAGACCTGCATACTGGGCGCAAGACTAAAAAAGAAAAATAATAGTAGAAATAAAATCCTAGATAAGGACAGACTTCTGCAGTAACACAAATGACCTGACTGCCTTACAGCAGAAAAAAAGCTTAAACAGGAACCATAAAGATCATCTCATATTAATGCGTTTTGATAAAGACACAAATAAAAACTTAGCACATTTTTCTCTTACAATTTTATTTAGTTTAATTCGTTTTGGAAACTTTTATTACAGTTCAGGTATCAGTTTTTAATTTTTTTTGCAAGGTCTGGTTTTAATTTTTTCAGTAAACCAAAATGTTTTTGAACTCTAGTTTTCGTTATTTTATTAATCTTCATTAACAATAATAACCTTGAAAAGAACAACCAAAACAATTGATCAAGTTAACATAGAAAGGGTTCATAATTCACATTATCTCAATTTTTCCAAATCCATAGCCACCTTTCTAAATGTTAATTTATTTTTTGCGTAAAAAGTTCTACCAAATAAAAAATCATCAATCCGAGGCCTCAGTTTCTGGAGCTAAAGATCTTATAGTTATATACTTGACTGTAGATGAGTGATAATCAAAGATCCTTCTTGATTGCTCCAGCCGCTTTGGGGGATTCAAAGCAAGAGTGTTATGATAGAGTTTCTATCTAGGGGCCTATCTACGTCCTATAAATTATTAATTACTCCAAAAATGTCATAATAAATGTGCCAGAAAGAATTTTGTTGTTGACATATGATTTTCCCCAGAGTGAATAAATCTACTCAACTTATAGGTTATATTTGTATCCATTCCTTTCAGTGTAGGAATGCTCTACAATAATAGGATGTACTTTAAAGATGGTCGCTGGTGAAAGTGGAAGTTGGCGTTAGAGATTGACCAATGCGTCGAATGGCTGATTTAAGCGTTTTTTTCTTGCATCGGCTGATTGCTGCATGCTCTTATTAGTGCACTCAGCTGCATGTAGCGCATGCTTTGCCGCTCCCTCTGTTTTCCTTTTTTTGCATAAATCAATACTTGTGTAACATTTATCACCTTAAGCATGTAATTGCAGGAAGAGAAAGATATATCGGCCGTACGTATCTGTGATAAGTTGGAATTATGGTAAAATAATCAGCATTGGCTTTGTGAAAAACGTTACCAGTTGATCTCTAGTTGCTGTATTTCCCTATAGTAAATGAACAATAGATATTACATTTCTAATTATTATTAGTTATTAGATGTGAGTTGGTGACTGCACTCATTTTCCTAAGATTTGGGCTCCTTATTGGACATGGTCATTAGCTGGGCTCAGCTGTGCACCGCTTCGCTCCATTAGGTCGCATCAAGTCAGAGCTGGGTCCTCGTTACAGTGTGTGGGTGACAGGTGTGTTTGTCAGGATTTAGGCTTCATGTTTCAGAACAAGTGAGGGAATTAATGCAAACTGCCATTCCAGCTCATTTTACCCAATAACTGGTTATTTTTTCATATTGACTAGATAAATGTTTGGAGACTTTTTTGTGAGTAGGTATTTGCTAAATACACACGTTAAGCCGGTGGGAGTAGAGGAATTTCTAAAGGATCTGTGAAAACAAGCATTTTTTGCCTCTTTGTGCTGCTTTAAAAGGAGGTTTGTCCCATGCTTAGTGGTCTGTTTTAGTTTGTCTACAGGCTCTTGTTTCCTAAAGGGATTGCAACAGTTTTTCCTTTTGGAAAACCTTAAAAAAACACGAGAAAAAAATGACTTGCTTTCAGTTATTTAAATCTGTTTTAGAGTTATAGGTCCATAATGGACGGTTTATTATTGTTGCTTTCAGATTCGCAATGTGCTTTGCTTGGCTGAGTTAAACGAAAAGAGAGAAACTTCTCTTTTTCACCAGTTTTCTCTTCAAACTTCATGTTTCCTTCGTGTGAAACTGCTGCAGTCTAACCTGATCCGCTAAAGCAGTGCACCGCTGTGCTTGCTGTCATGATGTTACAAGTCTTTTCTCTCTGATGGCTGCATTCTTTCTGGTCACTGATTAACCTGCATCTTTTCTCCTCTCTTTACTCTCCACCCACTCCCCCTACCCCCCCACATACGGGCTCTTGTTCCCCTCACTCCTTCTGCTGCTCTGCTGCATCCTGGCCACCAGGTGGCAGTAGGAGACCTAGTGAAGGTGACCAATGGCCAGCATCTTCCAGCTGACATGGTTATTTTGTCCTCCAGGTAGACTACATTGTCTGTGTGTGACTCAACATAAACATGTGTTTCTTCTGATACTATTTCTTCATTAATGTCTGTTAATTTACCCATCATTTTTACTCTTGACCAAAAATTATTCTGTTTATGATCAGTTAGATGTAAATGATTGTGAATTTTTTTGCTGACCAAGGTGTTATTAGAGATGTTTTTATATGAAACTTATAAATGACCCATATATTAACTGATTTGTAGTTTTTTTTTGCATTCTATTTTTATCTTTTTCCTCCTTTCTGCAGTGAGCCACAGGCCATGTGCTACATCGAGACGTCTAACCTGGATGGAGAAACCAACCTTAAGATCAGACAGGTAAAAAAAAATTAAATAAATCTGTTTGGCTGCCCTTGTTATATTTTGGTTTGTAACATTGACAGTAAAAAAAAATGTTGGAAAGACATTTGCAGGATCAACCATTGATTCCCTAAAGCCCATTTTCTCCCACATTTTTTTTTATATTTTTTTTAGAATAATTCACTGAAGCAGCCAGCTTTTTCTACATATTGATGGGATTGATACACAGTTATGGATAAAGTCTTGAATTATGATAACAAATATTTCCAATTTTGATTGTTTTTCCCAATCATCCATCAATACATCCATTCATTCACTGGTTCCCAAATATTCTGTGGTGGGCCCCCCTTTGATTTAAAAGAAAGTTTTCTCTTTGTTCAATCCATCCGTTGTTCCTTTCACTTATCGTCCGTAGAAACGGACAACTTAATTCTTGCAAAGTTTAGATGTTTTGAAATAAACATTTTTTTTTTTATGTCCTTTGTTGATTATTGGTTAAAATCTTCCAGTATCAAAATAAATAATTAGAAGTGAAGCAGGAACTTTGCATTATTATCTGTTACTGAAATCTTTTCAGACTTTAGTTCTGTTTTTGTTCGTCATGAATGTTCCTTATCTTAGATATCCTTGTTTCCTTTACATCCAGGGTCTTTCCCTGACAGCTGGTTTTCAGACCCTGGAGGATCTGATGGCGCTGTCGGGTCATTTGGAGTGCGAAGGCCCCAACAGACACCTGTACGACTTCACTGGCACCCTGCGCCTGCAGAACCAGAAGTGAGACACTCACAGGTCTTAGCAGCAGTTGTTCTACCAAGAGAGATATGATTTAAATTGTTTCTTATTTACCTGGTCAGGGTAAAAATGAATGTAAAATAATAAATTGTGCTTGAAGATCAGCCAAAAAAACGGTAGGTATTCAGATTTACTCATTTGGATTCTTTAAGAAACTGAAATTCAGAGCATCCCGACATCTGGCATAAGAAAATAACAGGCATGCAGTTAAACCAGCCAATGTTAACAATTAAATCTCATAAATTTCCATTAATGTAACAAACTTCTTCGATATATTTTTCCTTAGTCCAGCTCCTCTGGGTCCAGACCAAGTGTTGCTCCGTGGAGCCCAACTCAGGAACACCCAGTGGGTCGTGGGAATCGTTGTCTATACGGGCCACGACTCCAAATTAATGCAGGTAAGTCAAATCTTGGAGCTTTCTAAGAACCAAGAGAAGAAAGGGTTTGAATTTAGAGCAAAGGCTGACATTTACTTAGTTTATTCACCAGATGAAGCCTTTTTTTAAAGCCAGAGCTTTGATTATCTATGATCTACCATTTTGTACCAAGGGAGTTGTTTTAGAATTTACTCAATGCTTTTCTTGATTAGTTTTCATGAATGAAAATTTTCCCTAAGCAAAGAGATGTAAAAAGGTGTTATTTGCCTTTTTTGCTTCATACATAATGAAATGATTCTTTGTTCAGAACTCCACCAAGGTGCCGTTGAAACGCTCCAACGTGGAACGGGTGACCAACATGCAGATCCTGGTCCTGTTCGGCATCCTGCTGGTCATGGCGCTCATCAGCTCAGTGGGCGCCGCCATCTGGAATAAGAAGCACACGAATGAAGCCTGCTGGTACCTGTCGCGGGCCGGTGAGAGCAGACGCAAACATCACAGATCAGTGGATCTAGTCTGCATAAAGTTAGGGGAACAAATGCAGCTTCTTCTTCTTCTTCTAGGTGACATCTCCCTTAACTTTGCATATAACCTGCTGACGTTCATCATCCTCTACAACAACCTGATCCCCATCAGCCTGCTAGTTACTCTGGAGGTGGTGAAGTTCACACAGGCCCTCTTTATTAACTGGGTATGATTCATCTGGATTTTTATCATCAACTCTTAGAATTGGGGCTAAGCGATATGGCCTAAAAATAAAATCTCAATTTTTTTATTTATTTTTTTTGCTTATCCCCGTACTCTTTAATCCACCCAATGGCCGGCACTCTGTTTTGCATATTTAGATTAAACCCAGCAGATCACTTGAAAATAACCCCAGTTAAACTTTTACAAATATAGACATGTTATACATCCTTGGAGGGCTTAGATTCCCCTAAATTCAACCACCAACTTAATTTAATGGACACTATAAGCACAAAAGCACAATTAATAAAGATATAGCAGCGTATTAAATCAGATTTTAAAAAATAAAGCCTAGACTTTCTGCCTTTGAAGCAATCCTGAGGCCATATTATAAATCCAATCTTAGATTGTTTATATTCCTTTTTGTTCCGTAAGGGTCCACAGATAAAAAGTAATCTAGCATATTTGTAATGAAAACGTTTCATGATGAGAAAATTGCCACATGAATTAATTAATTTTTTTTTGCAATCAGAAAAGTCCCATCCTTATTGCTAATGCTTACCGTCTTCCTAACTACCCTAGCTTCCACAAATATTTCTGGTAAATTTTTGGTATATTTGTCATAATCACCTTCAAGCTGTAGGTGCAACGTCTGTCACAGCAAACCCAAACCAGTTAAAAAACAACGGATGGTTTAATTCCTTTTTTTTTTTTTAAGGACTAACTTCCCACGCTCACCGTAAGCCATGATGTCACTTGCTGAACTGCACAGTGGGCATAATACTGCAGCGTTAGACAAAAATATATATAGGCCTATATATTTTTTATTTTAATCACCCGCAACAACATTTTTTTATTAATTAATTGAATCGATTGTTTTTTGCCCTGGCCTAGTTATAATCATGTAATACTTTTATTGGGATTTTATGCAATAAAATGCTTCAGTCATTACTACATAGTTGTGAAGTAGAGGTAAAATTATTGATGTTTTAAATTTTGTTAATTATAAATAAAAATCTCAAAAGTTGCTTTTTTTGCAAGGCCCCCATTTAAATGAAGTATACCTGATAGGGGGTTGTTGTATCTTCCCCTCAGGATGTTGAGATGTACTACTCAGAGACGGACACGCCGGCCATGGCCCGAACATCCAATCTGAATGAAGAACTGGGTCAGGTCAGCTCCTCACCCCCCCTCTATAAAACCCCTCTAAACTACAGGTGGCACAATAAGTTATGCTGTGTCTGTCTTTTTCCAGGTGAAATACCTCTTTTCTGACAAAACAGGAACTCTCACCTGTAACGTCATGCATTTTAAGAAGTGCACCATAGCAGGAATCACGTACGGGTCAGTCATCCTTTATTTAAACACCTCTTTTGCATCCGGAGTTTACCTGTAAAACGAGGATCCCGATAAGAGAATATGAGCTCAGAACGCTGATAAACAAACTTCTGCTGTTTCACTGCTCTGCATTATGTAACAGACTAATCTAATTAAGGCTGAGCTGTTTCTGCATTAATCAACTAATTGCATGTTTTCCTTTTTCAATGCAACCTCATTCATAACTGCAGCCACTTCCCCGATCTTGACTGTGATCGCTCAATGGAGGACTTCAGGTGCGTCGCTTCTGAGCTTTCTGCCTTTTTTTTTTGTTTGTTTTGTCTAGCAAATCGTTAACTGTATGCGTATGCTTTAAATGGAGCATTAAATGAAGCTTTGTAATGTGTAAATTATTTTATTTCTGTCTAAAAAATGTTATTTTGTTCTCTCTCAGCAACTTGCCGTCCAGCAGCAATAGCTCGGCAGAGTTTGATGACCCGAGTCTCATTCAAAACATCGAAAAGAATCATGTAAGATTTTCTCTGGATAAATAAGCTCTAAACTAAACGGTTTCAGTGGAAGGCTTTATTTTTTTTTTCATTTTACGCTTTTCCAGCCGACATCACCTCAGATCTGCGAGTTCCTGACCATGATGGCAGTGTGCCACACTGTTGTACCAGAGAGAGAGGACAACCAGATCATTTACCAGGCCTCCTCTCCGGACGAAGGAGCTCTGGTCAAAGCTGCCAAAGGACTGGGCTTCGTCTTCACAGCCAGGACCCCTCATTCCGTCATCATCGATGCTGTAAGCTTGTTAATAATCTCAACCAGGATTTTGGTTTCAATTTTGACATTTTTAGTAAGCTACATACCTGAACCTGAACACAACATCCTTTGAAGAATTACAAACCATNTTTTTTTTTTTTTTTTTTTTTTTTACTTTTCCCCATACTATTTAATCCACCCAATTGCCGGTGCTCTGTTGTGCATATTTAGATTAAACCCAGCATTTCACTTGAAAATAACCCCACTTAAACTTTTACAAATATAGACATGTTATACATCCTTAGAGAGCTTAGATTCTCCTAAATTCGAGTTAATTTAATGGACACTATGAGCACAAAAGCACAATTACCGTAATAAAGATATAGCAGAGTATTAAATCAGATTTTTTAAAATAAAGCTCAGATTTTCTGCCTTTGAAGCAATCCTGAGGCCATATTATGAATCAAATCTTAGATTGTTTATATTCCTTTTGTCCGTAAGGGTCCACAGATAAAAAGTAATCTAGCATATTCGTAATGAAAACGTTCTATGATGAGAAAGTTGCCATATTAATTCATTTTTTTTACAATCAGAAAAGTCCCATCCTTATTGCTAATGCTTACCGTCTTCCTAACTACCCTAGCTTCCACAAATATTTCCGGTAAATTTTTGGTATATTTGTCATAATCACCTTCAAGCTGTAGGTGCAATGTCTGTCACAGCAAACCCAAACCAGTTAAAAAACAACGGATGGTTTATCCTTTTTTTTAAGGACTAACTTCCCGCTCTCACTGCAAGCCATGATGTCACTTGCTGAACTGCACAGTGGGCATAATACTGCAGCGTTAGACAAAAATATATATATATATTTTTTATTTTAATCACCCGCAACAAAAAAATTGTAAATAATTAATTGAATCGATTGTTTTTTGCCCTGGCCTAGTTATAATCATGTAATACTTTTATTGGGATTTTATGCAATAAAATGCTTCAGTCATTACTACATAGTTGTGAAGTAGAGGTAAAATTATTGATGTTTTAAATTTTGTTAATTATAAATAAAAATCTCAAAAGTTGCTTTTTTTGCAAGGCCCCCATTTAAATGAAGTATACCTGATAGGGGGTTGTTGTATCTTCCCCTCAGGATGTTGAGATGTACTACTCAGAGACGGACACGCCGGCCATGGCCCGAACATCCAATCTGAATGAAGAACTGGGTCAGGTCAGCTCCTCACCCCCCCTCTATAAAACCCCTCTAAACTACAGGTGGCACAATAAGTTATGCTGTGTCTGTCTTTTTCCAGGTGAAATACCTCTTTTCTGACAAAACAGGAACTCTCACCTGTAACGTCATGCATTTTAAGAAGTGCACCATAGCAGGAATCACGTACGGGTCAGTCATCCTTTATTTAAACACCTCTTTTGCATCCGGAGTTTACCTGTAAAACGAGGATCCCGATAAGAGAATATGAGCTCAGAATGCTGATAAACAAACTTCTGCTGTTTCACTGCTCTGCATTATGTAACAGACTAACCTAATTAAGGCTGAGCTGTTTCTGCATTAATCAACTAATTGCATGTTTTCCTTTTTCAATGCAACCTCATTCATAACTGCAGCCACTTCCCCGATCTTGACTGTGACCGCTCAATGGAGGACTTCAGGTGCGTCGCTTCTGAGCTTTCTGCCTTTTTTTTTGTTTGTTTTGTCTAGCAAATCGTTAACTGTATGCGTATGCTTTAAATGGAGCATTAAATGAAGCTTTGTAATGTGTAAATTATTTTATTTCTGTCTAAAAAATGTTATTTTGTTCTCTCTCAGCAACTTGCCGTCCAGCAGCAATAGCTCGGCAGAGTTTGATGACCCGAGTCTCATTCAAAACATCGAAAAGAATCATGTAAGATTTTCTCTTATGGATAAATAAGCTCTAAACTAAACGGTTTCAGTGGAAGGCTTTATTTTTTTTTTCATTTTACGCTTTTCCAGCCGACATCACCTCAGATCTGCGAGTTCCTGACCATGATGGCAGTGTGCCACACTGTTGTACCAGAGAGAGAGGACAACCAGATCATTTACCAGGCCTCCTCTCCGGACGAAGGAGCTCTGGTCAAAGCTGCCAAAGGACTGGGCTTCGTCTTCACAGCCAGGACCCCTCATTCCGTCATCATCGATGCTGTAAGCTGGTTAATAATCTCAGCCACGATTTTGGTTTCAATTTTGACATTTTTAGTAAGCTACATACCTGAACCTGAACACAACATCCTTTGAAGAATTACAAACCATTTTGCTTTTTTTTTTTTTTTTTTAAATCTGAAAACTTTCCCAAATTAAAAGGGATTTTCACTCTAGTTGGTAATATATATTCGCTCAGTCTTTACTAAAACAGATGTAACTTAAAGACACTCAGAAAAAATAAAGGCCAATTTATGCTTCTGACGCATAGCCTCTGCAACAGTCAAATCTGTCTCTGTGCTCGACCACGCCCCCCACGCAGAGGTTCTGCAACCGTTGTCGTGCACCTGAAAAAAATCCTGACTACGCGGCGGCCGGTCGCAAACGCACACAGACCTCAAGCAGAAGTGCACAGACAGAAAGCAGATGTGATTGGTCCTTGGTATGCCTTTCCAACTCAAAGTTCCCGCGAGGTCCCTAGAAATTCCAGACCGACGGTCCAAAAGCATACCAGCAAAACTGGTTTTGCGACCAGACCCAAGCAACATTTGATGTGTGCGGTTGCAGAAGTATAATCTTCCCTTTAATCAACGTAGGGCTGGGCGATATGTCCGAAAAATATAATCTGCAATTTTTTTTTTTTTTTCAATTCGAGTTCCGATTTTTGTTTTCCGATTCCGCCCCCCTTAATTATTAAGGAAAGCATAACTACTGTGCCGCTTTTATTGGCAGCCATGCTTATTTTGACTGCTAGCTGGACCGAGAACCTTTTCTGATCGTTTTAAAATATGCATTTCAATACACAACCCCATTTCTTCTAATACAACCGCATAAATAAACCCTAATGTTTACAAGCCTCTATTCGTTGCCGTTTCTGCTATCTGGGCTGCAGCTCATCGATATAACTGATCCCCCAGCTCCCATCCTCCATCCTCCTACTAAACTTGTATTTGGGTAGTAATGCGTTTTGATAAGCGCCAAAAGTCACGTCATCGTAGCAGTCAGAGTAAAAAGGGGAGGAAAAATTTGCACTTGTAAAAAAAAAAAGAAGTCGATTTAATTTTCTTTAAATCACCTGCTACAAAAATTGTAATTAATTCATTGAATGGATTTTTTGCCCAGGCCTAAATCAACACTATTCCTCGATCACATGCACATCAAAACCTGCTAACTGCAGGGACCTTAGGTGTGATGTTATTTGTTTGGATTACCCCAAATTTTCTTTTATAAATTTCTATTATTTGAAAACGTTTCAAAATTTTACACCTTAACTCCACATGGCGAGTTTCTGTTAAATTGTTAGTGTTTCCTCCCTCTAATAGTAATAGCAATATCATTCTTTGGGATTGTTTTTCTCCATTACGCATATCCCTTTATTTATTTTTATATCTATAGAATAATATTTATATAGCTTGAATTAATATTTAAACAATACTTTTAAATAATATAGTATAATTATATATTAATTTGGAAAATGCAGGAAGATCGATGCAGAAAAGCAGTTGGAAGATCCCCAAAACTCAAGAGAACAATATGAAACCAACATATTCAGCTGTTTGAATTGCCTAGTCAAATTCCAGACCTAAATATGATACAGAGTCTGCAGAAAGAAGTAAATGGTGATGTTTCCGGATGCTCTACTTCCAGTCTGACTGTTGCAAAGGAAAATGGGAAAAATATTCAGTTTGTAAATGTTAAAAGCTGGAGAGGATATATTAAAAATAACTTACAACTTCAGTTGAAAGAGCTTTTTGTTTTAAAAGTATGAACTGAGAAAGTGAATAAAAAGTACCGGTAGCTCCACACTCTGCAGATATTCATTTGTTCCAAGGTTTAAGTTCTATTTAACAATTGCTACCATTGTCTAATTTGACTTTATTCAGCTTTTAAATGTCTCTAAATCATCCCAAGTGTGGAAAGTTTAATCAAATATATGTGAAACTTTGATATCTTTTGAAAGGGGGAGGAGTAGAAGCTAAAAAAAAAATGTCTGTGTTTCAGAGAGGAAATGAGATGACCTTTGAGCTACTGAACGTTCTGGAGTTCTCCAGGTAATCCTTCCCTAAAACATCCCAGTAAACAAATAAATGTGCCTATAATGGACATTCCATTGAAACCATGTTCGCTTATTCTACAGTAATCGCAAGCGCATGTCTGTGGTGGTGAGAACGCCCACTGGGAAGCTGCGGCTTTACTGCAAAGGAGCGGTATGTTCATCCAGTTGTTGCTATCATGCTGAAATGTATCAGTAATCTTGAATTTAAAGTCAATTTTCTTCTTTTTTTCAGGATAATGTCATCTTCGAACGGCTAACGGAAGCGTCTCAGTACAAAGATCTCACCATCGCTCATTTGGAGCAGTTTGCAACTGAAGGTATCAGTGATTCCTCTGGTTGTAATTGATGTAGATGCAAAAAAAGTGGGAGATTTATTCAAAAGCAGCTACTTTGTTTATATTGACACACAATGGAGGAAAAAAAACAACAACTTTAGTATCATAAAAAAAACTGAGCAACTCAGAAATGTTCAATGTTGGCAGAAATCCGATGGATGGTGTTAACCAGGGACCACATTACAGAGGCCTTAATACATTACCTATTTATTTTATGTGGGAGCCATGGCTTTGTCAAGTTGAGCTTTTTAAAGAGACTCATTATGTGGGGGTTGCTCCATTCTAGTTCTTAATGTCAGCTGTCCTGCACCCTTTAGATCTGTTTCTGCTTCAACACACCAGAGTCACATAATCAGGTCATTAGCAGGACTTTGGAGAACTTGACTACACTAAAGAGGCAATTGAGCCATTTGATCCAGATGTGGAACCAGAGACTTCTAAAATCAATTCAGGGTACCTTTCCTGGAGGGCCGAAATTAAGGATTTCTGCGCTAGATGATGCTTCCTTAAAAAGACAAGAAGTAAAGATGGCCGTTATTGATAATAAATCTGTATTACGCAGACAAATGTTAGGTGCTGGGTAGGTAAACAGCGCTGTTTTTCTCAGAAGGTAATTGGTATCATTCTTATATGCATAAATGTTCTTTATTTATCGTCTCTAAATTATATATTTTTTGACGATTTAGCCAGTATATGTCTGACATCCCAGAATCTTCTAAAATGCTGCCATACTTTAACATTCTATTTGTTTTTCAATAATGGACGTATACATAGAGTATTAATAATGAGTCCAGAACTTATGTCAAACGACAGCCATATTTATGCATAACGCTCGGCAGCGTAATGTCCATTTAATGTCACAAGCCAGTGTCCTGAGGGGGGCAGCAATGCGCCCGGAGGGGCTCGGCCTGCATAAAAAGATGTCTTTGATGATCGCGGTATTAACCTAGCTGCCTTTTAGAGCCTGGCAAAATAAAATTGGAGAATTGGAGGGAAAAAATGCGTTGGAGATAAGTTCTTGATATAACTTGTCAAAGCTCTGCCAAGTTTCTCCTCCGGTTCTTTATTTGTACGCTAATTGGAACTAGAGATGGACCGATCTCTTTTTTTCACGGTCCAATCCGACTCCTAAACTGGGCTTGTTGTATTTGCCAATGTTTGATGTTGAATGAATTGACTGTAGACCTTGTTATGTGAGTAAAAGCGTCATGCTTGACATAAATAGATTAACACAGATATAAATCATCACTAGCTGCTGTGTGTGCTCTTGGAGATGACACAATCATGAAATTAAAGACACTAGAGGAACTTGTAACTGTAGTGCATTTAGGGATGTGCGTTTCTGGCTAAAGTACTATTTGATAATTGTGGGGACATGATGATTAATATTCCAATATTTTATCACCCCAGCAACACACACCCACTACCATGGAAAGAAACACATGAAGAAATTCTATCTTTTTATTTTGCACATTTTGCACTGATCACGATTTACCAGATATTCTACCCAAATTGGAATGTTCAAATATATGCAGACGATACAGTAATGTCCAGGAATCTTTTGCTTCATCTCTAATTGAAGTAAATAATTGACTTTCCTTCTTTTTCTTTTAAAGAAACATTTAAAAAAATATTCTTGTTACACAAGATTTAGAATGAAGGTTGTGGTGAATAGAGGGTTGAGCCAAAAGGAAAAGCTCTCCATTTACCAGTTGATCTAATTTCCTACCTTCATCTATGAATACAAGCAGCGGAAATGAGTTTTCTCTGCAGTGTTTCTGGACTCTCCCTTCGAGATAGGTTGAGGAGCTCAGTCATCTGGGGAGGACTCAGAGTAGAGCCACTGCTCCTCCATGTCGAGAGGAGCCAGTTGAGGTGGCTCGGGCATCTGGTTAGGATGTCTGCTGGACGCCTCCCTGGTGAGGTGTTCCAGGCATGTCCCACCAGGAGGAGACCCAGAGGGAGACCCAGGATACGCTGGAGGGACTATATTTCTCGGCTGACCTGGGAACGCCTTTGGATTCCCCCGGAGGCGCTGGGGGCTGTTTGGGCTTCCCTACTGAAGCTGCTACCCTAGCAACCCGACATCAGATAAGCTTGTTGGAAGGATGGATGGATGGATGGTCAAATCAGGAATAAAGCCATTATAAAGAGTTAATTAAATGTTGACAGTTTAAAGCTTCCCCTCAATCTCATGAAGTTGCATTAAAAAACAGTTTTTCCTCTGTTTTTGTTCTTTCCGATGCTGTTGTATCAGAGAAGACCTGTAATTGCCTTATAGGTTTACTGCATGATAAACCCTTCCCTATCTTTCACCCTCAGGTCTAAGGACGCTCTGTTTTGCATACGTGGACCTGGAAGAAGGCGCATATCAGGAGTGGTTGAAAGAATACAACCGCGTCAGCACCGAACTCAAAGACCGCGCTCAGAAACTGGAGGAATGCTATGAACTACTGGAAAAGGTATTAACACATTTTCATCTGTGGCTAATGAGCGTTGATGATCTTCAAGTCGAATTGCTTAAAGCTGAGCTTCTGCAAGACTTCATAAAATTGCTTTGTAAAGTTTGTTTTTTTTTTTTTTTTGATTAATTGAATAAATTTTGTCATAACTTTTTAGGGATTATTTTTTGTGCAATTTTGCATGGTTAGAACAAATCTGTATGAGTATATGTTTCCACTAATGACGCCATTTAAAAGGATTTTTTGCCATTAAACTTTTCCCCATTTTGTCACATTACAGCAGAAAACTTAAATTTTAGATTCACAAAGAAAGGCATTATGCATGCTATGACAATGAAGAAAATTGTCCCAGGGTCATCCTGTGTTTAGCTCCATTCATGTCAACATTAGCGCTAACAACTTTAGCACTACATGCTGAAGAGAAGAATGCCCATAGCATGATGCTGCCATCACCGTGTGTTCCTGAAGAGATCATGTGTCCGGAATTATTTTATAGTTGGTCTTCTGTTTTACAAGTAGATAAAAAAGAGAAGCAAAAACAATAAAAACCCCAATTTGGTTCTTTTTTGACTAGGCAACTTTTTCCACGTTTATTTGTCTATATGTTTTAAAATACGATGAGATAGCCTTTATTTTACCACACAGTGAGAAAATTCCCTTGTCACGTCGGCTCAATAGTCAAAAGGAGGAAAGGGTGCATAGTATGTCCACATATATACAGTGGATCGAGAAGAAAAAAAAGCAATAAGGCAACTTATACACATATGGATTTGAAGTTGTACTTTAAATTGGTCCCAGGTAAGGAACAACAGTGAGGTAGTGAGATAACTATAACAGCTGAAGTCTCTTGTTTCAAATGTTATCGCCCAGGGTATTAAATAGTGATTTTACATTAGTTGACCAAGTTATTGCAGTTATGGTGCCGCATTGTAAAATCTGGTGGCAGCAGGGATGAATGACCTGTGGTAGGGTTAGTGCTTCTTTTTACAAACGGAATGTAAGAGTCTTTCACTAAAGGAGCTGCTCAGCTCCTCTACAGTCTGGTGCAGGGAGTGAAATGTGTTGTCCATGATGGATGTAAACTTGGACAGCAACCTCCTCTCAGCTACTTCCTCCAACGAGTCCAGAGTGCAGCCCAGGACAGAAATGGCCTTTTTCACCAGCTTATTCAGTTTCTTTCTATCCCGCTCTGCGCTGCCAGGGGCCCAGCAGACCACAGCGTAAAGGAGGGCTGAAGCCACCACAGAGTCATAGAAGGTTTTAAGCAGGGGCCTGCTCACTCCAAAGGACCTCAGCTTCCTCAGGAGGTGGAGGCGACTCTTGGCGTTCTTGTACAGGATTCCGGTCCAGTTTATTATTGTCATGAACACCCAGGTTTTTAGATTGTCATGGGGGAGTGAGGTGGTTATGTTTGTTATGAGGTTGTTTTGTAGGCATAACGATTAGAAAATCTTTCTAAAATACTTTAAAGGGAGGCGTTATAATATTAAAAAATGCTCTAGTGATGAAGAGTTGTGTTTATATCTGCAAAACACTTAATTTTGAATTTTAAGATTTTTGAGAATAAAAAAAACAATATGAAGAAAATCTAAACGAAAGTTTTGGATTGCAGATAAATATGAGACAGAATCCTTTACAAACCACTGAGCTTTTTTACCAGCAGATGGCAGAGGGGATCCACTGATTCTTTATACCATCCATGCTTTACACTGATTTGTTTTTGATGTTTCTTTTTGATCATATGCGGATTATTCTTGTACAGTGTAGCATTGTAATTCAAGTTTGTCTCATCTGATCCCTCATCTGGTTAAAAACCAAACGGAAGATTCAGGAGAGAGCTGAACTAATGGGTGTGAAAGCCAACTGATTTGTCAGCGAGAGCTGAGGTGAGAAAAGTATGTGAGGAGAGAGAGAGAAAAAAAAGAGGAAGCAGGAGGAGGAGGAAACTTCTGACCACAAGGGCAATTACCTGCACTGGCGTGCCAAAAGCCTCATAAAACCCGAGTCAACAACAGGGTCGTGTTAAGTTGTGTGTCTGTGGGGGTGTCTAATGAGGACACACAACCATTTAGGCATTGAACAAATTAAAGCACGCATGGGAACGGATAATGACTGACTTCTTGGCTCGATGTTTTCTCAACTTAAATGTAAAATGTCTGGTATCCTTGTCCTCAAATTAGACTTATGTGATGTCAGAATCGTTCACATATACAGGAAGCTGAAATCAAAGTCTAAATATGATTTATTTTAACCTTATTAACTCTTTTATGCCATTATAGATTTGTTTTCCTAGAATTACCTCTGGCTCTTTGTGTTTGCCAATAGAACTTAATGCTGCTTGGAGCCACAGCCATAGAGGACCGTCTGCAGGCCGGCGTCCCAGACACAATCGCCACGTTGATGAGGGCCGGCATCAAGATCTGGGTACTTACTGGAGACAAACAAGAGACCGCCATTAATATAGGTGAGAGGAAAATGACCAAATAAAAGCACTGATGCAATTATAGAGTGTTGTGTTTAAATAAAAAAAAAATTTTTCCCATCATTTTTTTTTCATATACTTTTTTCAGATGTTTTAGACTCTTTTGCAGATTTCCTGCTTGTTCAGTCTTTGTTTCTGACATTTAATTTAAGGGAGCTTGCTGAAAAATTAACAAGTACAGGACAGAAAATAAACAATTGATCATGCCTCAGATCTTGGAATGTTTTTCTTGTTTTGTGGTCAGATTCTGTTCAGAAAAAGAGAACAAACGTTTGTCTAAAAATGGCCAATTAGTAGTGAACTGGAAAAGAACGTAAAGTCCCCTTTAAAGAAAACCTGAATCAATATTGTTCTAAACCGGTTTGTAATATTCTAAGAAGTGTTAGGGGGCTTAAAAACTCCAAAAACTACAGAATTTTGATCCTGTGATGCATTTTTAATATGGGGAGTATTTATTTATTTATTTATTTATTTGACTAAAAAACGAGTGTTCAGTGTGAGTAGGATCATTAATGTCACTTTAAAATATCGTGCTTAAAATGGATTACATGCAAATATATACTGCTTCTCTGCAAAGGGTATTTCTGTGACTTTGGTATAGAGTATGACTGCCGTGCAAATCATTTTTATTCCTTTTTGCATCCCTTCGGGTGGTTTAACTTAATCTAGACTCAAAGATTGTATTGTACAGTGGGGTGAACATAATTCTGAATTTGAAAAAAATATGTACCAGCACACAACGGTAGTTTTCTCTGCCTGCAGGTTTTATTTCATGTTTTTTTTTTTTTTTTTATGTTATACCCATAGAGCTGAAGGGAGCAAATAAGGAGCAAGGAGCAGGATTCATTCAGGAAGAGGTGTTTCTGCTGGAGTCATTAAATCAGACTGCAGAAACGTATTTTGGGGAGAAACAAAGCAAGATTGTAAGCAGGCTGCCTTTAGCGTGAGAGCAAAATCTCATTAGAGAGCAACAAGCATCCAAGAGTCAAAAACAAGAAATTTTGTTCTCAAATTGAAAATTGAGGAAATTTGTAATAATGTCCAGGAAACGAAATCTGAGCCAACCCTTTCATCTTCAAAATTCAAAGCCCGTGACACCCACACACCACCAATTTCAACATAAAAAACAAATGATAATAAAGAAATAATTGTGTTTCTGTAAATGTTAGATTTCCAAGTAGACCGTTGCATTAAAAACCAAACGCAAATGGGAAAAAATAACATTTTAAGTTGAATGTTTTGTGAATTTTGACAAAAGTGTTGTTGTTTTTTTTGTTCAGAAAAGGTTTGATTCATGAATTTCCAGCCATCTGATCAGGAGCAACAGATAATTGAACTTATCCTCAATTTAAGTCTCCACTGATTTTTCTGCATCTGGACATAAAGTTTCAAATCCTCTTCGAATTCAGGAGGGTGTACCTTCTCTTTACCTTCACATTGTTTGATCAGAGGTTGAGTTGATCTGAGTGGTGCTCTGTTTTGTATCTTAGTAAACCCAATCCCTCTCCCATCCTCCTCTCTCCCCTCTGCTGTATTGTCTCTCAGGTTACTCCTGTCGCCTGGTGACACACGGCATGTCCCTCATCATTGTCAACGAGGACTCTCTCGATGTGAGTAAACCCTCCTCCTCTTCTTCTTCCTGGCGGCCTCCTGCGCTTGCATCACTTTGTTTATCACTTGGGGACTTTGGTGTGTTCCCATGGGAGGAAGTTATGTGGTGGGGTGTTTCTTAACCAGGTTACTGTGAGAACTGGGGTGTGGTCTGCGGTCAAATTGGTGGGTGGGACTCTTTGTGTGTTTGCAGGTGGAGGTAATTAAAGTCTCTGATGTCTCCTTTGAGAAATGGAGATGAGCTCTTTACTATCACAAGAAAAAACACAATTATTCTCTGATCTAATTGAATTCCAGCAATATGTCTGCATCTTTTTTGGGTTTGATATTTAGTTAGTTATTAACACTTATTCTTCTTGTATTTTTAAAGGTATAGTGGTGGATTTTTGTGAATTTTTGACAAGACCATCTTTTTAAAAAAAATTGCTCATGCACAACCCTGTACCCACTCCCAAGAGAGAGTGGGTACAGTGAGCGTGCACGAGCCCATTTCTCCTTGTGCAGGCTGTTTAAAAGTTGCTGTTTGCTGATACAAGCTAACTTTCCAAAAGAACATTTGCAATTTTTCCACTATGTCCAACTCACCACAGGTAAGTGAAAATGGGGACGAGCACATAGGACGTTCCTTTTCTCTCAGCCCTCTTTCCACCATCACAAACTGCCGTCTGCATTATAGCAGGAGCCGCACTGATCCGTCTATCAATCTCCTGCCTCCTTCTCCCCTCACTCCTGAACAGGACCCCAACATACTTGAGCTCCTCCACTTGAGGCAGGAACCCAAAGGGTACAAGCCACCCTTTCCTGGGTGAGAACTATGGCCTTAGACTTGGAGAAGCTCATCTTCATAGAGGCCACTCTGCAAACTGCAAACTGCATGCTGTTGGTCTTGGCAGAATGGAGCCAGAAGAATCTCATCATTTGCAAAAAGCCAGGAGCTCTAGGCTGCGCCTAGAAATCCTGTCTATAAAGGATATAAACCGGACCGGTGACAGAGGGCAGCATGCACTAGGAACAGATCCGACTTAGCGTCAGCAATGCAGGCCAGACTCCTGCTCTGCTTGTACAGAGACCGGATGGTCTCTAGTAAAGGGTGCCTGCTGACTTCATAGTTTTGTAAATTTCCACTTGTGGACATTCATAATGTCCTTGGTTTAAAAAAAAGGGTTTTTAGCCCCTCTTTTTCTGCACTAATGCATTAGTATGTGCATGGGTATCAGTTTGTGGGCCCAAAGTGTGTCTTAAAGCGAAAAATTAAGATGAGGTCTACGCTTAATTTGTAATTTTCCTTGCTTCTGCGCCTCAGTTGGTGGGCATCCTGATCTGTGAGCTTGTAGAGTAATTACATTACCTGGGAGCATGGTCAGCCTGATCCCTTTATATGATTAACAGGGGAGCTCATTTGAGCACCACGCAATTAATTTGGTCATGATTACTGGTCTAATTGCAAACTGGTGCTATCATTTCTTTTATTCCTGCATTCGGCCAGATTAATGGACTATTTGTGAAATTTGACACTTAATGAAAGCAATGCCCTGAGGTTCCCAGGGTTAAAGGAATGCAAAGACACCGAAAGGCCGAGTAAACTGAGTTGGCCACTATGAAAATGTTATTTTTTCAGTAAATATAGTTAATAAAACCTTTTAGTTTCGGCTAAACTGACGCAACTTTTGCTCTAGTCTGATCAATCATATGTTTATATATATATATTTCTTTTTTAGTTCTGATATACTAAGAGTTTGATCATTGCTGTATGGTTAATAGCTAATGTGAAGGAGCTTGGGTAAGATGGTGAATAAATATTGTTCCTGTTTATTATTGACATGTTCAGCAGGGATTATAAACCTGATTGCTCAGGAATTAAGTTATATTTATGTTTTGCAGGTATAACAAAGAAACTGTTTTCATACAGAGGAAGAATCATCTTGAATGGTTGAGTGGCTGCATATGAAGTCTGCGGCGTAAACACAGAGAATTGAATTCATTACATTTCATGGAACTGTGAAGACGAGGACGTTTCTTTATTTCTTCCATGTAGTTTATCCAAAGCAGCTGCAAACGTGACAAACAGTTGGATCAGATTCAAGAAACCTCAACAATAAGGCTAGGAGTGGACAGTGAGTTGATCTAATTCCATTTGATTCAAGAAAGCTTTATAGTGATATTCTGAGAAAAGATTTCTTAGAAATCATAGATTTCAACAGAGGCAGAAAAAAAGCAGGCATCCATGTGGTGTTAATCCCGCTTGTCTACCGGGACGACTTCAGAGAGCTCTTGATGTGCGTGATGAAGATGAAAGCCATGCCATCCTCAGCTTAACACTTATCTGCCATTCACTTAAAATAACTCGCACCAGGTCCACTTTCTTTACACATGTGGGCCTGTTTGAAGGCCTGACCTGCACATGAGTGAAAACAGAAGCTGCTTATCAAAATCACTCCTCAAGGTTGACCTTTAGCTGCCATTTGTATCAGGCGCTGGAACATCACTGGGGATGTTTTGGACTTGAGTGTGTCAGCGTTTAAAGAGATCAAGAAAAACTGCGATCTGTGGTCCGCTTTTTTTTTTTTTTCCTTTGGTGGATGGATTTTGACTGGGCTTCATTATTATTTTACTTAACATTACAGATTTGTGCTTGAAGTTCCATCAGAATATATATTGATCTATAATAAAGCGTTAAACCAATCGGTTATAATCTCAAAATGTAGTTTGCATAAAAAATCTTTCATCGCTTGATTGATGTATTCATATTTCTCAAGATTAACATTGAAAGATGATCTACGGTAAAATTAATACATCAGTTGATGATGATAAAACCATTAGGAACTGGTAGCCGACATTATAAGGTGCTTATATTTATTATTAAAACCACTAAGCTCTACCAAATAATGACCGGACTTTGCTACCAAAGCAAACCTAAAAAAATCTAAAATAAAACACCAAGAACTGCAGTTCTATCGGGGGATGATTGGAGAAATCAGCTTTAAAAATGCAATTAATCTGAATGAGGAATCTAGCCGTCATAAAGATGTAAATAATTCCTCAGGAGTCTAAGGAATTAAAGGTATAGTGGAGGATTTTCGCAAATTTCTGAAGAGACCCGCCCTCTCCACTTAAACAAAG